CCTGTCTAGTCCCTTTCTCTATTGTAAAAACCTCTGACAAGCCTCCATTAACAATAAGTTGTGCCGTTTGTTTTTGGTATATTGCCGTAAGAGCTTGTAATATCTTTTCACCAAAATTCATCTCTTCAATTGCTCTTAACATAAAATACCAATTCAATTGATCAAAAGCTTTTTCAGCATCTAAAAATATCAGCCCTGCAGAAACTTGGTTATTCTTATCTAGATATTCTAATAAATTAATAATTTGTCTAGCATTGTTTTTCATATACCTACCAGTTATAAAACCAGATTGGTCCTTATGTACCAGATGATGCACAACCCTCATAAGCCTATTAGCTAAAATTTTTGCAAATATCTTATAGTCAACATTTAAGAGAGATATAGGTCTGTAGTTCTTTGGTAAAGTAAGGTCTTGATCCTCTTTTGGAATCAAGGATATAAAAGCACTGCGCCATGAAGGAGGAATCTCTGAGCCCTGTAAAATATTATTAAAAAGATCACCTAATGGTTGAATCATCTCTTCCATTAGAGTTTTGTAATAAACAGATGTCAACCCATCCGTACCCGGTGCTTTCCCTGATTTCAGTTGTTTAATTGCTATCACAATTTCCTCCTTGGTAATTAAGCCATTAATTTCATGTTTCTGGTCCTCTGTCAATTTGGGGAAGTTGGCCTCACTTAAATATTTATTTATATCTAGAGTTTGCACATTAGTAGATTTATATAATTTTTGATAATAATCTAAAAAAGATTTCTTAATCAATTCCTTCTGATACACTAGTTTAACCTTATAGTTTATTTTATCTATTATTCTCTGTCTCTGTTTCTTTCTTAATTGATAAGCCAACCATCTCCCTGGTTTATTAGCATTACAAAATGTATTTTGTTTCATAAACAATAAGTTAGTTGCGGATTGATCCGCCATCAACATATTAAATTGTGTTCTTAGCAACTTTATAGATTCTTTAATCCTTTCATCTGAAGGAGTTAAAATCAAAAGCTTTTCTTTTAATTTAATCTCATCTTCCAATTCTTTACGTTTCTGAGTCTGCTTTTGTCTATAAAAGTTATTCATTTTTATCAAGATCCCACACATAAATGCTTTACCTGCATCCCATACCATTGACATTGAAGTCCCCTTATACATATTCAAAGCAAAATAATCCTTTAAACACTCCTTTAGCTTTTGAACATTCTTTTCTTGTCTGAATAAGTTCTCATTCACCCTCCAGGATCTTCTTTCCTCTTTTTCTTGAATCAACTCCATCCAAACTGGACTATGATCCGTCAGCGACCTAGGAAAAATCTTTACATTCTTTACTCTATTATATAAATCCGTTGTAATCAAAAAGAAATCAATTCTTGAAAAAGATTGATGTCTATCTGAGAAGAAAGTGAAGTCTCTCTCCTCTTGGTTATGTTCACGCCAATAATCCCTTAATTCCCAGTCCTCTTTCATATCAAAAAAGGCTTTAGGTAATTTGGCCTGTTTAAAAAGAGGAGAAGAACCTTTCTTATCCCTTTGTATATCTAAGACACCATTCCAGTCACCCATTAATATCACAGATCTATAATCCAGAGAAGTTATTTTCTGATGTAACAATCTGTAAAATTGTTCCTGTTGCTGGTTTGGCGCATAAAGTCCCACTATAAGTATTTTCTTACCATATAAACCAAGTTCAATCATTACATATCTTCCTTGGGGATCTGATTCTACTAGACAAGCTGGTAAATTTTGCTTAACATAAATAACCACTCCCCCCTTTTTCCCAGGAGCAGGAGATACAAAATGAGATCCCAGACGGGCGTTAACTAAATATTTTTGATCTTTGAGTAAAATATGAGTTTCCTGTAAGCAGATAACATCATTATTGTGTTGCTTTAAATAGTGAAAGATTTTCTTTCTTTTCTGAGGGGAGTTAAGACCGTTACCATTCCAGGTCAGGAACTTTGCCATCTCCCTTGACCAGGAGTCTGGAGAAGACTGCCTGGAGATCTGCCATTGCTGTATATGTTGCAGAACTCTTGGGTCTTGCTCCTCCCACCGGCAATGAGGCGCTTTCCGAAGAAGATTCTTTAATTTCTTTCTTTTGTTGCTCCTTTTCCTTGCGTCTATGTGCTGCACGGGTCATCCTCTGCTCTTTAACCTCTATTTGGCGTTGCCATTCAACTTGCGACTTCCCAGCAGAGATCAGACCTAATGCTTCAGATTGCTGTTCCAACTCTTTACCACTCGAGGGTTTCTGAACAGATAAAGCTGAGCCTGCACCCAGGACCGTGTTATAAAACTCTTTAGCTTTAGCAACCGTATTCAACCTGTAACGCATCCCCGCATGGCTCAGAGCGATACCCATCGGGATCTCCCATCTAAATGGCATCAATCTGGCTTTAAGCTCATTGGCTAAGAAAGCAAAATCTTTCCTGCTTCTTAAAATTTTAGATGGGATTTCCTTTAAGATAATGACATCTTGGGCCGCAATCTGGAATCTCTTATTATAGAAAGCTTCTATGATTTCATTACGCAGAGACTTCTTTGTAAAATAAATCACCACATCTCTAGGCAAATTCTTCTGCTTCGCAATCCAAGAATTAACTCTGTAAATTTTTTCCACTTCTCTGCGTAATTCCTCTTTATCCATATTCAGAGAAACAGCTAAATCACTAACCACCATCTCTGTCAGATCTTGATTCATGTCCTCCTTCAGACCCCTGATTCTCTGGGCGTATTCCATTTCTCTATACTGGGACATAAGGATATCCTCTTGTGAAATCTCCATCTTCCTTTCCATATCTTGAAATTTATCCTCAAAAAAATCAACATTATCTGCGACTTCCTCCACTCTCGAGTCCAGCTTCGCCACCACAGAGGCCAGACCTGATAAGGCTGTAACTATGTCTTGCCTCAAAATAGTATTATTGTCCTCTAATAACTCTCTCATTTCCTTCATTTCCTCTTTACTTTCAGATTTAATCTGTACAACAAGCTGCTTCATTTCATCTCTAATTTGGGATACAGCATTTCCCATTATGTCTTTAATCTCTTGTGCAGACAGGCCTGGCAAAGGAGGGGAGGGTGGAGGCTGTGTCGGTGGTACAGGTTTAAGTTGTTGTTGTACAGTTAAGGTTGTGGGAGAGGAAACCACCTTAGATAGTATAGAAGGCGGTTGTCTCTTTGAAGCCATTTTTTAAAACAAAGTTCTCTCTTCCCTTCTTCCCAAGAAAAGGGAAAAGGGAAATAAGAATTAAAAAAAAACAAAGATATTATAATCCTTAGAATTCCAAAAAAGAAAAAAAAATCAAGGAAAAAGTCCAAAACTCAAAAAGAGAAAGTCAAACCAATCATTTAAGTCCAATACCTTCCAAAAAAGTAAGAACAAAGAGACAAAGGAAAAAAAAAAGGAAAAAAAAAGCCGAGCATTTTCAAAACGCCATCTTAATTTCTTTCTCCGTGCCAGCAAAAAAGAACAAAGGAGAAGCAACCAAAACTAACTAGAAAAGGAAAGTAAAATACTAAACTATAAAAAGAAATCCTTTAAACCGCTCTGTCCGCTTCAAAAGTTACTCACCAAGACTCTTTAACTGCGGAGATAGAAGCGGTGGTTCCTTTTGCTCCCAAAGAAGCAAAAACAGCTGGGAGGCGGAGATAGGCAGGAGCTCCGAGGGAGCGCTCCTTCCACCCCCTCAAGGAAAAAATCCAGAGGGGGTTCAGAGGTTCTACTTCTACTCCTGCGTTCTCTGCCCCTTCCCTTTGCCCGGGAAGGGGATTCCGAACCGCGGGCCAGCTGATGCGCGCTGTGCTCCGCGGATCGAACACCTTCCCAGCTGGACGGCTACAAAGTAGCCACCATCACGCCGCTGCGTACTGGAAGCTCCTATCATGTGGGTTTTCTTGAACTCCGATCTTTAGGCTCCTGACAGAATGCGTAGCCGGCACACTGGGCGTTTTGGAAATTGCTACTGGTGGGCTTCTTCTAGGTGGGTAGTTTATTGATGCGCTTCCAAAAGAAGCTTGTGGTGCATGGTTTACACTTGGCAACTTTTTCATCAGTAAACCTTGGCTTAAGTTGAGACTCTTTTGACTATTTTAAAAGTAATTCCAGTCACCTTTGTAGTTTTCCTACAAACATTCAAAGAAATGGTTTTTTTTCTAATTACAACCTATGTCATTTGGGGATGGCCATGTCCACCAGATACAGAGCTGCAGATACCCAGAATTGGTCCTGCAACCTTCCATTGTCTCCCACTGACTCAGATCCACTTAAAAGATATTCCTCTACTCTGCTTTTTTCCAAGTACAAACAAATGCTCAAAGAAATCAGCTTGGACTTGGAAGGAGGTGGCATCAGTATGTTGATGGCATTTTGCTTGCCTTGTGTTTGGCCCAGAATCAGTGTCTGAGATCAGTAAGGGGTTGGGAGGGAGCCAGTCAACTGGCTGAGCTGATTGTGCAAATTCAAATGGTGTCAGTCTGCTTTCCTTTCCTCCTGAATGAATCTTCTTCACCTTGATGCCCTCTTGATGTATGGATTAGAATTTGCCTCAACTGATGCTATCAACTGGTGATCTGGAGATACAGATATTTGATACAGTTTTGGTAACTTCTGCAATGTGCTGCCTATGACTTCTGGTTTGTGGTTTGGTGATCTCTGTGTTTTCTTGCAGATGTTTCATTACCAAACTAGGTAACATCAAACTAGGAAATACCGTATTTTCCGGCCTATAAGACAACCCCCCTAAACCCTGAAAATCTTCTCAAAAGTTGGTGGGGTTGTCTTATATGCCAGAAAATACGGTATTCCATTTAGTTTACGTTTCTGTTACTACTAAACCTGTTTTAAGACTTCTATCAATTTACAATTTCCATAATCAAATAGTGTTTTACTTCAACAGATTATCACTTCAATTATCTCTTCCAGATATGTTCAAGTTCTTAATCTCTCTCATCCCTCTTTTATTCACCAGTCTTTTATATCTTCTTCCAATAATAACTAACTTAGTTAAAAAAAAGAAACAATGTTAAACCTTACTTCATTTCAATTCATTACACAAACTTCAAATCACATCCAAATAATTGTTTACATTGTGATTCAGAACAGTACCAAAATTACAGTTATGAAATAGAAACTAAAATAATTTTATGGTTGGGGGTCACCATAACATGGTGGCCACGCCCACTTGGCCACGTCCCTGGGGTCACCACAACATGGGGAACTGTATTACGGGGTCACAGCATTAGAAAGGTTAAGAACCACTGATTTATACGGTCTCTCCCCAGTGTGGATCCTTTTGTGACGATTAAGATTTCCTTTCTGGTTAAATGTCATACCACATTCCATGCATTTATACGGTCTGTCCCCAGTGTGGATCCTTTCGTGATTATTAAGTTGTCCTTTTCGGGTAAAGGTCTTTCCACATTCCATGCATTTATATTGTCTGTCCCCAGTGTGGATCATTTTGTGGCGATTAAGAAGTGCTTTCTGGTTAAAGCTCTTTCCACATTCCATGCATTTATATGGTCTGTCCCCAGTGTGGATCCTCTCATGATCATTAAGATGTCCTTTCCTGATAAAGCTCTTTCCACATTCCATGCATTTATACGGTCTGTGCCCAGTATGGATACTTTCGTGACAATTAAGATCAACTTTCTGAGTAAAGCTCTTTCCACATTCCATGCATTTAAACGATGTGTCCCCAGTGTGGATACTTTTGTGACAATTAAGATCAACTTTCTGAGTAAAGCTCTTTCCACATTCCATACATTTAAACGATGTGTCCCCAGTGTGGATACTTTCATGACAATTAAGATCAACTTTCTGGGTAAAGCTCTTTCCACATTCCACGCATTTATACGACGTGTCCCCAGTGTGTATCCTTTTGTGACGATTAAGATCTCCTTTCCGGGTAAAGATCTTTCCACATACCATACATTTATACAGTCTGTCCCCAGTGTGGATCAATTTGTGATGATTAAGAGGTCCTTTCTGGGTAAAAGTCATTCCACATTTCATGCATTTATACAGTCTATCCCCAGTGTGGATCCTTTCATGAAGATTAAGATCTCCTTTCCGGGTAAAGCTCTTTCCACATTCCATGCATTTATACGGTCTTTCCCCAGTGTGGATCATCTCATGAAGATTAAGATTTCCTTTCTGGGTAAAGCTCTTTCCACATTCCATGCATTTATACGGTCTGTCCCCAGTGTGCATCCTCTCATGAAGATTACGATTTCCTTTCTGGGTAAAGCTCTTTCCACATTCCATGCATTTATACGGTCTGTCCCCAGTGTGGATCCTCTCATGAAGTTTAAGATTTTCTTTCCGGATAAAGCTCTTTCCACATTCTATGCATTCATATGATCTCTCCCCGGTGTGCATCTTTTGGTGGACATTAAGATTACTTTTCGTACTGAAACTCTTTCCACACTGCATGCAGCATTTCCTCTTTCTGCTCAGGGTGGAATCCACCAAAGATATTACAGAAGTATGTGGTTTGCATTTCCCATACAGTTTCTTTGGTGAAGTAGCAGCGAAGGAGTTATTCTCCATAGTTTTTAGAGGCATGCATGCTTCCTTGTCGTTCTCATTCACAAACACCTCATCTGCATGGGAAAAAATGAAAATTAATATTCTGATTAGAATTTAAAAGGCCCAACCCCATCAAAAACATGTCAATCTGCGTTCCAGGTTTAGTACAATCCATTTGTCTAGCCAGGATGTGCTATCTGCAAATTGTTATCTAGGAGGCTTTATTATATAGAAATAATGTTTTCAGACAAAAAACAAATTAAAGTCAATCTATTCAGTCACTTCCATGGAGTATCTAGGATATTTCTCAATTCTATGGTGAATATTTCTGTCACAACCTTATAGCGAACTGAACAGCCTGGCCTTACCCAGAGCAGCCATATTGATAGAAACCTCCTGCATGACTTCTCTGCACAAGGCCTTCTGGCCAGAATCTAGCAGCTTCCACTCCTCATCTGTGAAGTCCACAGTCACCTCCTCAAAGGGATCAGAGCTCTAGAAAGAGAAAAAAGTAGACAATCCCAGGAAAAAGTTGAAAGTTCTCTCTCTTAATGCAGACAACATAGAATGCATAGTTGCAAGAGCCAAATGAACATTTTGTTTCAGGTCAGATTCATGTCAACCTGTCCACATAGTCCATGGGGCTGGGAAGTTGCAGCTTAATAAATCATGGTTTATCTACTTCCAGGTTATAGAATGCAACACAGCTAACGCTGAACAATAGTTTTATTGTTATAGCCACTTAGTGTTGACTTACTGGCTTATCCTTCATGTGCTATATTTTTCTTGGTATACTTAACAGTTATCTTACAAGGGAGATGGCTGGCATAAATATTCAATAAACACTTCTTAGGTATGTTTAATCCCACAGTTATAGTTTCAATTCATGGGTTTCATTTCTAACTATTTTAGGCATTCTTCTTAATAGTATTAAGAAATATTAACCTCTTTCTACAATAAAATTTCATTTCTAATAAAAGGTTCCTGCTTATCAATTGTCTCATTGGCATTTCCAGCACAATCCTGAAAGCCAAATGTGGTGAACACTGTGTTCAAGTGCACATTCAGCTGCTGAATGGATGGATCTGGAACTCTACTGTTCTCAGAAGAAACCTGCACTTACCTGGGAAGGTGGCCAGAATTGGGTCCTCCTGAAAAACAGGTCCTGAACAGAGCTGGATCGATCTTCTCTGCCCCAGAGCTCTGCTGAAATCTCCTCTGTAAATGGCTCCTGCATTTGAAGAACAGCCTCATTCATAATCCATTTTCAGAGGACAATATCTGTGATAGTTCACATTCTTTACATTTTGCTTTCCTACTTGTATTTCCCCAACCCAATTCAGAGACGCTTCAGGGACTCTGCGAGTGACTTAAAACAGCAGGCTGTATTTTTATGTACATACAATGTGTTAATTAGTTTCCTTCTCTTACTATTGTGGTATTCTAGAGCTTATTAAATGTGGCTCTGTATCAGAGGACATTCACATAATCCAGTTGCTTCCCCTTATCTAGATTCCGGTAACAGCAGATCACAAACTAAACACTGATTATGATGAGATATATGGATAACATCACAAAGGATACAGAGGTGTAAAGGGATAAATTAATTTAGGAAACAGAAGCATTTGCCTCAAGAAGAAATCCATTCTTCAAAGGTGAGGAATTCCAGAAAAGGCTGCAGAGTCATATTTTTAATCTCTCTTATTAGAGACATGGCTAACCCTTCCTCTCCCCTTCCCGCCCCCCATGGAGATCCCAGGACGAAGCCCCCCCGCCCTCCTCACCTGCCCCTTTCCCGGCTCTTCCCGCTGGGCTTGGCTGAGGAGGAAGCCTTCGGCCAGGGCCACCGCCTGCGAACAGCTCTCGGCTCCGCACTCCCTCACCCAGCTCGCCATCTCCGCGGGCAGCAGGGCCAGCAGCTGCTCCAGCACCACCAGGTCCAGCATCTCCCCTTTGCTGCTCCTCTCCGGCCGCAGCCACTGGCGGCACAGGCGGTGCAGGCGGCTGCAAAGCTCCCGGGGCCCCTCGGCCTCCTGGCGGCAGCCGTCGAGACCGCGGAAGCGCCGGCGGTGGATCTCTGGGCTGAGGGCGGCCTCCATCCCTGGAGATCCCTGGGCCTCCATCGGGTCTCCTGCTCGAGGGCAGCCAAAAGAGGTCCGAGACGGTCCGAAATGTCCCCCGGCCCCTCCGAAACCCTTCTCCGGTTGGCAGGAGGGCAGAAATCGGACTCCGCTGACTCGGGCGTTAGCCGCCTGAAGAAAGCAACGGCAAATGCTTCCAGCCAATTACCTGAGTGCTCCAGGCACGTTGGCGGAGGAATTCTGGGAGTTGAAGTCCAGCAGTCAAAAGGCCCAAGTCTGAAGACGCCTGCTCAACAAGGACCTAGAACGAGAGATATGTGCTTCCTAGAGGGGACGTAAAAGAAGCAAATCAAAAGGCACTTTCCTTTTCCGGGCTTCCAGAATGTGTGCTCCGCTGCTCTTCTTCGGAGGGGGGTGGGGTTCGCTAAAAGGCGGGCGGTAGAAGCGGAGACTGGGACGGCGATGCTTGCGAAGGGCAGAGAAGGACCGATCATCTCGGCGTCGCCCCTCTTCATCGCCCGCTTGCTCCTGCTCGGGTCCTGCGCCCTGCTTGGAAGTCGGGGAGGCTCCGCTGAAAGGTGGGGCTCTCCTTGGTCTCTGGGTCCAGCGCAGGACGGACGGATCGGGGGCTGAACGTCGGAAGGCGGCTGGTAGCTCCTTTTCCAGCTGACACCTTTCCTTGCAAAAGGAGAGCTTCGTGAGTGCAGCCGCCTCCGTCAGATGCAGAGACTGAAGCAGGATGGAAATCCGGGAGGGAAAGGCAGGTTGGATCCGGGGCTGCGAACGAGGGGAAGCCTCGCCCTCTGCCTCGCCCTGGATTTCGGCAGGATGGCTGGAGCAGAGAGCTTCCTTCCCTCTATGCTCCCTTCCTGGAGACGGGACTTGCTCTCTAGGCGTAAAGCGTTTCTCCCGGCGCTTCGTTTGCTGGGTTGCTAGAGCAGAAGGGAGCGCAGAGGACTGAGGGTTTCTGCTTAACGGAGCTGGCGCCGATCCCTTCGTTTTTCATGACTCTGTTTAAATGCTCCTCCTCTGGAAACTGTGAAAGATTATCTTGCAGAAAATCTTATCTATCTGATCAATCAATACGCATTTCATGGTCCGTAATCAATTTATCAAGAATGTGTATAACTAAAGATCGAGAATAAGCTAAAAAAAATTCTCAATTTCATATGATAACTAAATGGATTTCTCAGAGTAGCTATTTGCATATGTTTTACACAGGAATTATACTTTTCTCCTTTACGTATTGAATTTATAAAATAAAACTATTATTTATCATCCAAAGCTCTTTAAAAATCAGATCGATGTTTTCAGTTTAGGTCTTCTGCTAAAAGACAAGAACTAAACTCAGAATAAAGAGTAGCACAGTTGATTCTTAAAGGCCCCCACCCCCAAATTTGAGCATTTGTTACAGGAGGCTTTTCCCTTTCTGGTCAAATATTAGTGGTAGTTTGTAAATGGGGAAGAAGAACCACTCCAATCCTAACTCAACTCTGGGGCTTCCAGTGGGCTTTGGGTGAGAGTGGCTGAGAAGAGGGAAGCCCCCTGCTAAATCATGCATTTGTACTTTGATTATTCCTCTGCCATGAATTTTTATTTTTATTATTTCAGAGGTATTGTAATTTTGTAGCTATATATATTGGTATTTTTTGTTGCTTTTAACTTTTTAAGTCGCCCAGAGTTCTTTTGGTGAGACAGGTGCAAAGTAAAAAACAATAATTAATAATTTAATCACCTCATTGGAGAATGGGTTAGACAGGAGTTTCTATGCAAAAATACCCTTGTCACCTAAATCTGTGTTCATGTGTTTTTGCTCCAATGACCTCCTATGTGCTTAATTTCACACATCCAATCTAAACAAGCTGCAAAATATAATTTCAAATTTGGTTAACTTAAACTTCCTCTTTCTTTAGCATCTAGTGACATGTTGTATTTAACTCCAGGTTTTTTACCCTAAGGTATCAATTTTGATATGCTTTTCTTCTATTCTTTAAATGCTACATGACTTGTGAGAACAAGTTTGGTCTGGGACAAAAATAATATTCAAAGATAAATGTCATCTTCATCATAGAAATTCTCCCCAGCAATTGTAGTCTTTCTCTCTTTAACATATCTTTATCAAACTTCAACCCATAGCTTAACATAATTTTTCGAAACAATGTACAGTTCATATTTGTCAGATTAACACCCAAGTATTTTACTTTTTATTCAATCTCAGCACTAGTGATTCATTTATAGGAGGGTCTGAGCTGGGCCTTAGAAGCGCACTCCACCAAATACCAGCTGTGGAAGGAGTTGCCAGTCTTAGTGGTGTTGGGGAAACTTTAAGAGGACTGCAGAAGAATGCAGTGAAAGTTCTGCATCAATAAGAGGACTGGGGCTTCACTATAGTTGGGGAGGGGGCGAAGAGAGAAAACTTTCTGGGAGACATGCCTGCTGCAATGGGAATTGGGGGAGGGGCAATTTGGCTGCTACTGTGTGTGGGGACTCCCTACTCAGTCCCATTTTGGTGCAGAAATACCAGCCTTTCTTCACCTGCATTCCCCTAGTACCCATTTCTGCTCCTTTCTTTGTGTCTTTGTGTGTGTGTATGTGTACACATTGTTATCCTCTTCCAGAAGGGACTATAAAGATACAAAGGGGCCTTCCTCAAGGTAGCATCTTAGATTTGCTTTTGGAGACGTCAAGAACATGCAGACCTCTTACGTAGGAATAGCGATGGTAAGTCTCCTGCGGATATCCTTTTCCCACTGGCTGTTCAGTGATCGTTTCTGCATCCAGATTATTCCAGCTGGAAAAAACAAACACAGAACACTCTGGAATGTTCTTGAGCTTTGCAGCTGGAGGTGGTTGCAGCTTATGGTCCTTTGCAGCACGACAGAAGATAAAATGCATGCTGAAGAAGGCTCGGATCCTTGGAATCCAAAGTTCATTTGGCCAGCCTAGTCCAGGAGTCGCCCCTAGAAACACCTTTTGAGGGGAGGATATTTTCAACCAGTCTCTTTGAGAGCAAAAGAGAAGCATGCTGAATAGCCCAGGGTTCAATAGGCTGGCTGAAAAAGATTAGTTTGGATTTTGGAGTCGAGCTTTTTCAGTCAGGCCCCAGAAACCAGTTCTTCCTTACAGGCTTCTTCATTGACTTTCAGTAAAATCTGCAGAAAAGTTGCAAATATTAATCACATGATTATAGGGCACTTGGCAACAGGCGTGAAAGTACTGGAGACACCATAAGTATATTCAAACTGTGATATGATAATGCCTTCTACTGTAAAATGTGGCTTTCTGACATTTCTACTCGATGTAACCAAAACTCTTAAGGGGTCTTGTTCAGTTTCTAGCATTAAACTGGTTTTCAAATATACAAACTGTTTGGTCAACTTTTATTTAATAACTTTTGTGATCTTTTGTCTATTCTTTGCAATAATTTCAGCCTTGTAATATAAATACTGTTGGAGTTATTGGATTATCTGGCCTGCTAGGCTGAGTCATCAGCTGCAGTAGGCCAAGGTATAAGGAAGTCGGAAGTAAAAAAGGTTGGGAGAATACCAAGAAGTGCCGTGCGGTGCAAAGGAAGGTGTTTGGTGCTTTGTTGGTGCCGGGTGTAACAGCAGTATAGGAGCGTGAGCAAAACAAAGCTGTAGCAGGTGTAATATGCTAATATGCTGTGTTATAACAAATGTGGTTGGTGTAAGGTGGTCACCAGGTGCATATAAACCCGCCTTCTGGTAACACAATAAAAGGGATGGTTCGGCTTTGTTCGGGGCTCCCATCCCGAGGAAACCACATGTTCGTGTCTGTTCTTCTACACTCATGGGAGACCCGCTGGGCGCGTGAAAACCCACAACTGGTGACCCCGACGTGATTCTGAGTGCGTCTCTTGGTACCCTCTTACTCACTCGGCAGAAGAGCCTACTGCAACTCAGGGCCGGTCGTCAGGACTAGACGAAGCACCCTCCCAAAACATTACCGTGAGTATGGGGACAGGATTCTCTAAGCCTCAGGTTGTGCACCTCTCAGAACTTAGGGAATTGACCAAGTCATCAATAATTGTTTTGAAAAACAATGGGAAAAATTTGCCCCTTCCCACTAAAGGGGATTTGATCCTCCTCTTAAAATATGTATATCAAAATTGCCTTGTATATCCCGAAGGAGGATCCCTAAAAGTGTCGGTGTGGGTTAAATTGGGAAAGTATTTTCATGAACCTCCTCGAGCCCCTCCAAAAATTTTGTCTACATGGCGAATTGTAATTGAATGTCTCCAAATCCATGAAGATGCCATGAAAACAGAGAAGGGGAGGGTAGACCCCCCCTCCTGCCTATAACTCTGAAAAGCCTGTAGACCCCCCGCCTGCCTATGACTCTGAAAAGCCCGATGATTTAAAAAAGGGACAGAGTGCAGAAGAAAAATCCTCCTTGGCAGTTTATCAAGCCGATGTGCCTTTTGAACCGTTCGCGCCAATGAAGGAGGGAGAAAAAGAACAAAGGAGCACTAACGTGCTGCCTTCCCCTGCCAGCGCCATCTCTAGGGCACTGGCCGAAGCTCATGAAAAAGGGGAACTGCAACCTGAAGAATATCAATTTTGCGCGCCTGTTTTTATTGATCCAATCACAGGCAATCGCAGATATGAAGCAATTCCCATGAAAACTATTAGAGAAATAAAACAAGCAGCATCAAGTTATGGGATTTCTAGCCATTATACCTTGGGTCTGATAGGTCACATGGCTTCTACTTTTTATTTGTTGCCTGAAGATTGGAAAGGGTGGTTTGGGAATCGGAATGGAAAAAAGAATGTCAAAAGATCGTTTTAGCTTGGCAGGGCTATAATCCACCAACAGTAGACCAGTTAACAGGGAATGGAAATTTTAGTTACCTGGGAGCTCAACAAGCCATGAATCCTTTGTTTTATTCTCATGCAGCCCTCGCCGCAAAAGCTGCCCTAACTCGTGTTGATGATCCGCAGAGGGGAACAAAAAGCTCTTTTGTAAAGATTTTTCAAGGGCCTAATCAGCCCTATGGGGAATTTGTGGATCAGTTACAAAAGGCCATATCTAGGGAAATCACAAATGAAATAGCCCAAGAGGAATTGTTGAAAAAACTTGCCTTTGAAAATGCCAATGAGGACTGTAGACGGGTCCTGCAGCCCTTAATGAGCAAACCTGATGCAGGATTGGCAGACTATATTCAAGCCTGTAGAATTGTGGGGACCAATGCATTTAACATGGAAACTTTGGCTATGGCCTTACAAAAAGCAGGAAGTAATAATGGGCAACCTGCGGGTAAACCTGGTAACTGTTTTAATTGTGGGAAGCCTGGTCATTTTAAAAATCAGTGCCAGGCCCCAGGGGGGGCGCTAATAAAAGCAGGGGAGTGGGAGCCAGACCAAAAACTGTTTGCCTGCGCTGTAAAAAGGGGTTTCACTGGGCAAACCAATGTCGCTCCAACCCTATGCCCGCTGATTCCCAGAAACCGGGAAACTAGAGCTGGGGCATTCAGCTAGCCCCGCCTCAAAGGCTGAATCTTATCATTTTGTCCTGGTGGCCTCTGAGACAATAACCACAGGCTTATCCGGGCTGTCGTATTTTTTGCCAATCCGGCCGTCTGTCCCCTTTCCCCCTGATTGTGACACCCCTCTGTTAGTGTTTCCTCACCGTGACTTTATTATGCAGGGAGTAACGGCTATGCCATTTTTGAAAGACCCAGCTGACTTTACATCAGTCGCTTTGGCATTTACCCCTAACACTCCCATGACTGTGCTCGAGGGAACAGTAGTGGCAACTGCCGTCCCTGTGCCCCAACAACCACAAGTTTTGGCAATTGAGCAAGAAATTCAAAAGTTCCGCCCCTCTATGGCCTTTCAAGTCAATGGACGCTCCTTTTTTGGTATTCTAGATACCGGAGCTGACGTATCGGTCATAAGAGAGGAGGAGTGGCCCTCTGAGTGGCAGACCGACAGCGCACCGTCGGTTCGGGGAGTGGGAGGAGTCCAGCACACACGTGTGAGCAAACACTGGCTTTCTGTGACCTCGGAAGAAACATCAGTCACTGCCCACATTAAACCTGTCATTCTTCCGCTTCATATTAATCTGTGGGGTCGGGACTTGATGAGTCAGTTCAATGCAAAATTAATTTTGGATTAAGATGTCTCAGTTAATAAAGTTAAACCTCTTGACTGACACCCCAGTTTGGGTGGATCAGTGGCCTTTGACCAAAGAAAAATTAGCCGCTCTGGTGCAATTGGTAGATCAACAATTAGAGTTAAAACGCATTGAACCCTCATTGAGTCCTTATAATACTCCGGTGTTTGTCATAAAGAAAAAATCTGGAAAATGGAGAATTTTAAACGATCTAAGAGTTATCAATAAGATCATTCGCCCCATGGGGGCGCTCCAATGCGGTTTACCTAATCCTAATTTGATACCAAAAGACTATGACCTTATGGTTATAGATCTAAAAGATGCATTTTTCTCTATTCCACTACACCCAGAGGACAAACACTTATTTGCCTTTACTGTGCCTGAAATGAATAACTCCAAGCCCACGGCCAGATATCAATGGACTGTCTTGCCTCAAGGGATGCTAAACAGTCCTACAATGTGTCAATATGTTGTCAATCAGGTTTTAAGACCATATCGGGACAAGTTTCCTCATTTTAAAATTTACCATTATATGGATGATATTTTAGTGGCAGCTCCAGGGCCCTCAGGTACAGTCTCAGCAACCTTGCCTGTTCCAACCTCCATTTTTCAAACAAATGGGTTTTTTATTTCACCTGAAAAAATTCAGCTTAAACACCCCTTTCTGTACTTGGGCCACAAGCTTTTGGCCTCACACGCCGAGCCTCAGCTGTTTAAGTTGTGTCTTCCGCCATGCCCAACCTTAGTCCAACTTCAACAATATTTAGGATCAATTAATTGGGCCCGTCCCTATATGGGACTAACCACCTCTCAATTGGCTCCATTGTTCTCTGCTCTTACGCAGGGAAAAAATCCAGGAGATAAAATCGTGTTAACTCAACAACTTAAAACTTGTGACATCATTCAGCATGCATTGTCAAAAGTATGGGTCGATCGTGTTCAGCCCGATATGCCTTTTTCTATGCTAATTTTTAACACCGTTGACCTTCCTACAGCAGCTTTGGCTCAGATCGTGTCTAATATAAAAATGATGATTGTAGAATGGATCCACTTATCTCACACCCCGAAGAACACCATTTCACAGAAACATACGCTCTTTGCTCAGCTTATAACAAAATCTCGCTTTAGGGCAAAGGCTTTAGGGGGTGTTGAACCGTCCTT